TTAGGCGAGGCATGAAACATTACCAGGTCTAAATGCTGTTGCATTTAAAATTTTATCCTAATATCTACATGTGGCAAGGTCGAAACCCCCCCCCCCCCCAACGACTGTCAAAAAATCTTATTGTCTTCTGAGCCGTGTAGAAGATTGGAATTCACATTCCATTTCATCTAGCTTAGATTTTAAAAGACCAGAGATTCAATAGCCAACCAGTCAAACTTAAAAGCCAATCAAATTTCGATCGCTTAATTACTTCAAGTGGAATATGCTTGCTCAAGTTGTGAAGTCTAATTATTGAATTAGTCTAGAATTGCAAATCCGTACTTAAGTTAATTTTGGAAAAGTAATTAATACAGATAATAAATGAAATTTAAGTTATCATCAAACATCCCACTATTTGGCAAACTCTGCTCAAACCCGCAGCAAAATGGATAAAGAGCTTGATGGTACTTCGATTCTGGACTAAGTTAAACCCTTCGTTAAAATCTCAGTTTGCCTAGACATGGAATTTGAAGTTACACACCAAAGTAATGTAACACTCTCTGTTCGGCTTTCACATATCTTGATGTTTTTTTTCCCTATTTAAATTTCTTATTTGTGAACACATTTTGAAAATAATGCTTTTCACTTGAACAGCTTGATTTGGAAGGGATAGCAAGAATGGAAAAATCTGTCGACAAAGTGTAGTAGGTTCCAAGACTACTATCAACAGTTCAAACTTATCGATACACCGAAAATTGATCCAAAACCCAGATTATATTTAAGGCAACTAAACAATGCAATGAAAAATCATGTCAGAGGAAATATCACACCCTTTTTGGCATTACCGATGTATAATTCTAATTTTCCCTATAATCTAGACATTGCAAATGTAGATTCATTAGGAAAAGCGCTGCTCTAAATCACTTGAGAGATATGGTTTCCAACTCAGCACACAGGTCACAGCGACACCAAATCACTTGAAGTGAGGGTGCTAATATCGAATGAACAAAAAGAGACAACTGAAAATTTTCTCAAAATTTTTAACTTCTAAAATTCCATTTTTTATTCACAAAGAAAAGTACAAATTCAATATGAATTATGAAGAGCATTCGAATAAGTTAAGAGTGTGGGACACGTCATCGCATGCCTGCACGCCAGGATTGGGAGGTGCGACCGTACAAACAGTGACCAATCATTAACCTCTGTTTGTTTAACCTAATCCGCCATTCTGATCATGATTAAGCTCCCTGCGTGTACACATTATCCGCAATATACTTACTGAATAAACGTGCTCCGTGCTACACGTCTGTTTCCTTCATAACTTTGTCTTAGCTTAACTAATTCCCGGGGACTTCGAGTTGGAAGAAACTGCTATAGAGCTTTCTGAGAATAGTCAAGGTTATTGAGGTAGCTAATCCGCTACAAGAGAAATGCATAATGGTCAAAATAGTTGGAAGATACCCTAAACTAAATTACAGTTTTGTCAATTGAAAAGTAAATTTAGTTCTCTTAAATTGGTTTCCACTTAGACACGTTCACTTCTAACTCCCACAGATCTTCCACTTCGAGGATGATTGAAATCTAACCTTTCTTTCTGTATTCTAACATGGCGACTTATTCGATATTCGGAGGTGTATTTAGTTAAGTGATGCAGTTTCAGTCGGCTTCTTCTTCATATATATGTAACTTTTCAACAGGTTTAGGGTGAAGAGCATCCAGAAGTTCAGGATGATAATCTTCTTCCACTTCTCTCCCACCTTTCCAGGTTTCCGTTTTTCATGTTTGGCGCAGAACACTTTAATCATCATTGATTTTACGAGCAGATCTCCGCCCTCTGTTTTCTCACTTCCGAGTCTCATTTCTGTTCATTTTTTATTGCCAGAAATAAGTTCGGAACTCTAGTCTCTTTAATCACCCCCCCCCCCCACTCACCCACCCCAGTTCCTGGGTATTCGTCTTCAGGTCCTCATTCCTCTTTCTATTCATCTTCTAGCGGGTTTTTCGGTTCCATCACCTCACTCACTGATGCTTCAACCTTTAAAATGGTTCACTTCTTTTTAAATCCGAGTTTTCTTCAGCACATCGTATCCATATGTCCTTTTTGTCATACAAATGGCATATATGTCATATGCAAAGACAAAATTAGACCGCCACTCACTTGGAATTTTACCTGGAGGACGGAAACATTCCATGGCACACTTCAACTTGGCAGAAGAATGTCAAAATTTAGCCCTCCAGATTTCTGCTAATTTGTGCCACAATACAAATCTTTGCGTCCATTGGCATTTATTGTCTGCTTGGAGCATTCTAATCTAACAATAGATATCACTTTACCAGAGATCACGTTGTCCGTTGCACTTTAGTAGCCGCTTGGAATGATCCTTCGAAATGACGAAGGACATGTCAACTTCAAGGCCACGAGAAAGAAACTAGCATGGGCTATTCGATCTCCGCCATGCTACTTTGATGGGGGGGG